ATATATAATATATCTTATATGTGTGTGAATATGTATATGAACATATACGTATATATTCATTGGAGTTATGATCACATAGACATTTAAAACTGGAACATGTAAATAGTTTTACTTATTTGTTTAAACCTACTTCTGAGTAAAGGTTTAATAGTTTTAGTTACAACCATTCAGACACATTTTATTTTATAGTATCAAATGTCATTGATTAATGCACTTACAACATCTAATTAACGTGTGTGTGTGTGTGTGTGTGTGTGTGTGTGTGTGTGTGTATTGCCTTTACCTTCATCCAACTGATTTATACTTTCTATAAAGTACTTAACATGAACAAGTGCATGAAAAGCGTTTACTAAATAGGAATATGCTTTTCTATTGATTAGACATTTATTAAAAATACAGATCTATACAGACATTCCAATTAAAAAAATCATTGGTATATAGGTTTCAATGGGATTCTCTGGCACACTATAAATATAGCTTGTCATTAAAAATAAAACTAGAACATGTGTATGTCCAAAGGAAGAAGGGTAGGCAGTGTGTAGGTACTTGGTAGGTATATTTTCTCTCTGAGACGCTGTGTACAGGAAAGAGAAACAGAGCATCAACAAACAAGGACCACAGGACAGAGAATAACAGAGACACACATGCCTGGCAGTAAAAAAGAACAAGTGAGAAATATTGTTTTGAAATAAAAGCTTAGCAAAAGAAGAGAAGAATTCTTTCCATTTTGTGAATGCTTTTTATGTACTTCTTCATGCTATGCGATTTATATAAAATATATTTGGACCAGGAAGCAGTAGTCAGAAAAAAACAAGGAAACACTACATGGTTCAAAATTGGTAAAGGATTGTGTCAGAAATGTGTCTTGTCTCCATAACTTTGTAATCTATCTGCGGAACAGATCATCTAGGAGACTGGGCTTTATGAGGAGAAATGTAACATCAGAATTGGAGAAAGATTCATTAACAGACTGCCATATGAAATTGACGCAGCCTTGCTTACCAAAACTAAGAAGAACCTGAAGTGTTTGCTGCAGATGGTCAAGAAATGCAGCCTTCAGTTTGGACTGAAGCTCAAGAACAAGAAAACAAAGATTCTCATCACTGGGTCTTTTAGTAGCACCATGATAGATGGAGAAGAGATTAAGATCATTAAAAGCTGCTTGCTTGGCTCCACAAGCAACACCCTTGGCACCAGTCGACAGGAAATCAAAAGACAAATAGCACTGTCATGGACCTCTCCACAGTACTGAGAAGCAATGATGTCAGTCTGTACACAAAGGTGCACCTGATCCATGCCATGGTCTTTGCAATTACTTGTGCGTCAGAGAGCTGGATAGTGATTAAGGATGGTAGAAGAAGAAAAGCCTTTGAGCTGCAGTGCTAGAGAAGAGTACTGAACATATCATAGGCTACGGAGAGAACACACAGGTTTGTCCTAGAGTGGGTGAAAGAAACCAAGTTGCTCCTTAGAGGCAAGGATTTTGAAGCACCACCTCACATACTTTGGGTACGTGGCCAAGAAAGACCAGTCCTGGAGAAGAATATCATGTTCAAAAGGGTAGAAGGACAACAGAGGAGAGGAAGCCCCTGCATAAGCTAGACTGACACAGTAACTGGGGTAAGGGGGTTAGGTGTGTTGGAGACAGACTGGCTCTAGATAGAACTATTGTGCATAGGGTTGCTGTGAGCCACCAGCAACTCCACAGCACATAACAAGTGTCAAGGCCGCGGAGTTGCTCCCTCCCTTTTCCCAGAACAGTCATCATTATAATCAAAACAGCAGATATAACTCTGTTTGTCTCTGTTAGAGCTGTAAAACTATTTCACCTCCCTTTCCCAGGAATAACTATCCATGACCCCTACCTTGCTCCCTTACCTTGTACCAAGCGGCTGTGAACATCCTAACTCCC